ACCTGCCCTTGCAGGTCCGGTCCTCAGAGGTATCTTCGATAAAGCCTTCGAACATGCGGGCCAAATTGCGACCGTAGTTGCAGATGCAACTCCTGAAGGATTTGCAGCTAATGTCGTAAGCTTGATCAATTTGTCAATTTATACAATTTTACATTGATGTAAAATATTGCTTTATCATGAACTAAAACCTATCATTTGATATGTTTTTTCGGTAAAAGTTTACAATAACTTACACAGCTCGGATTACTTTGACCTTGACATATGTTGTCAAGGACATAATACTGAGTAACTTTTTCTTATAACTTAGTCGGCGGTCGCTGCTTATTTAAAAGTTATAAACAAAAAGTTTGAAAAATATAGCAGCTATTTTGAGTATTGGAAGGCATAAATGACTAATATATATGTCGAAATAGTTCACGCATACACTTTTCACGCGAACCGAGGTTCACCCACACCCCCCCTGCTTTCGGGGGAGGTGCGGTAGCTCCGAAATAGTTCACGCATACACTTTTCATGCGAACCGAGGTTCAACCACACCCCCCCCCCGCTTTCGGGGGAGGTGCGGTAGCCCCGAAATAGTTCACGCATATATTTTTCACGCGAACCGAGGTTCACCCACCCACCCCCCCTGCTTTCGGGGGTGGTACGGTAGCCCCGAAATAGTTTACGCATGGGTTAGTTGACGCGCTTTAAACAATTAAATACTGTTAAAGCGCGTCATCTAATCTATGTAGATTAGTGACGCGCTTTAAACAGTTAAATACTTGTAAAGCGCGTCATCTAACCTACGTATTTTCCAAACTTTTTTGTTAATAACTTTTTAACGAATAACGAGCAACAGCTAAAACCTTCTGAAGGTCACTCGGGGTCATGACCTTGACAACATATATCAAGGTCATTGAAATCGGTGAGGTCGCCAAACTTTTTTTTGTTAATAACTTTTTAATAAAAAGCGACCGCCGATTAAGTTATAAGGAAAAGTTACTCAGTATTATGTCCTTGACAACATATTTCAAGGTCAAAGTAATCCGAGCTGTGTAAGTTATTGTAAACTTTTACCGTTTTTTCTTTCTTTGTAGGCTGCAGGTATTGTTGCATCACACCTTTACGACTACATAAAGGCAGCCGAAGAAAAAATAACTGGTTAAAATAAAAATTAAGAAAGTTGACAATTTAAGAAACTAAACAATTATGCTTCAAGGCTTTGTGCTGCTGCGTTATATAAATAATTATTTATATCTATGATGTACGAATAAATAAATAAATAAATATACTTATTATAAGTATGATAATATTGTCTACATTTTCTTCTACATGTACTATTAAAAGAATACTGCCACAACTTTAACCCGGGAAAAATTCATCCTTTTGAGGAGAGAGAAAAAGCAATTTGTTTTTAATTATAAGATAATTAACGCAATTACAATTATGATATTTTGTTATGATAAAATTTATACTGTTTCTTCAAGAGGTCTGATGTGATTTACTTGTCAATTCACTTATGATACTATTTATCCAGTGACCGCAACGTAACCGGTTTAAAAAAATAACGATTTCTGCTCCGTGTAGCAAATTTCGTATATAGGCTTGTGACAGTATTATAGCACATTAGGTAACATTTTAAGCGTAGGTACTTTTTATGGGCTTAACTCAAAATCGAAGTTTTTTGAACTGTGACAGTATTCTTCTAAGGGTGCGATGTACTATTTAAATAAATATGTTGCGCGCACGTGGATTATACACATTATATATGGGACCTACAGTTTTAACGCCGAACCCGAACGGCTAGATTTTTTAGAGAAGTTCTTTTAAAGGCGGTATTTATAGTCGGATCTTATTTTAAGACCGTCTTAAGTAATGTCTTAAGTTGCTAATACGGTTATTTGATTGGCTGGACGGAGTCTTAAGACCGCTTTAGACCAAACTTAAGACGATCTTAGATATAAGATCCGACTATGGCCGGTATTCATAGTCTGTTCTTATATTTAAGACCATCTTAAGTACAATCTTAAGATGTTATTAACCAATCACAGAGCCGTATTAGCATCTTAAGATATTACTTAAAACGGTCTTGAAATAAGATCTGATTATGAATACCGGCCTATGAATACCGCCGTTAGCAAGACATACTCGGTAGTTTGCCATTGCCTTACGAGAGGAGAACGAACGAATATAATTTTCCTAGCTCTACTGGAAATCGAACCCGGGATCGTTGGCTCAATAGACCAGTGCGCTGTCTACTAGCCCACGCTCGTCCTCAGTTTATTTGATATAATCCACATGAATTTTGATAAAGAAATTAATATTTAGATATAGGTATAAGCTGACACACTCGCACATATACGTCAAAGCTTGTATTTAAGCTTGTAATTATTTTATTATTTTATATTGAATAATTGTTAAATCGTAAAATTATGATACCGAAATAAACGTATCAATAAAATAATATGTAACTTAAGCACAAAATTGTAAATTTTAATTGTCCTATGTATTATAATGTTGTTTTTATTTTTCTATTTTCTATAGGTAATATTTTAAAATACCTATGAAAGTTCCATAAGTTCCATAAGTCATTTTTTTATTTCATTAAAAAAGTCTAAATAGGTTAACAAAGAAAAATTTTTTTAAAGTTCTTTTACATTGGATTTTCTTCATATAAAGAAAATTTAAACTTGTTTAAGAATTAAGAATTTATTTCTCTAATAAAACCCTTATTTTTCAGATATTCTGAATATTTGAAGCTTTTAAATATTTTAAATGCTTTAAATAAAAAACTTTACTAAAAATAACAGTTAAAGATTTAATTTTCTTAAATAGAATATTTGATTCTTTAATTTGTTTTGATAAAATTTCCAGATATAAATCTATAGTAAAAAATAAGAAATTAATACAAAGAGAATTTTTTTTAATCATTGGAAAGAAAAAGAGAGAAAGAGAGAAGGGGGAGAAAGAAAGAGAAAAATACAGAGAAAGAAAATGTAAAATACATAAAAATGTATAAAATACAAAAATATATTTATTAAATTAGCAAAAATGCCATTCTATGAATTTATCTGCATTTCATAACTGAAATATCTGAATTCTGGATTGCGCAGTAATTTAGCTGCTAATTAACGACATATTTATATCCCGCATCTCCACCAGTAATATGACGACTGAATTTCACGTTTATTTGTTTATTTAATACGCGAGTATGAGTTGCTGGCGGCATAATTCGATCATCACTTCCGCTTGCAAGGCATGTAAACAATTATCGAATTACTGCCGATTGCGTTGACTCAAAGCAAATGAATCTAACATTTTATAAATGAAATAATTTTTTGCTAAGATTTTCTTTAATTAAAATAATTCTATATTAAATAATTTGTGAGTGTGTGTACACATATTCACATGTACTTATATTATTATGCTCATTTACGTTAATTATAATTTTCTATTAAATTTGTTTTTATCAGTATCAAATTTAATTTTTTTTTAAATAGTTTGCAAAATTCTTTTACAGTTTTTAAATGAAGAAACTAAATATAATTAACGTTAAAAATGAAACACGAAATTACAATCACATATCGAACAGTAAGATTTAAAAGATCCGTGTTGCAATTAATTGCAGTATCGATGTTTTGAGATTCGCCATTAAATTTTATATTAATCTGCAATTTCAATCTGAATAGAATTCTAGTTTTAGTTCTATCTAGTTTTGAAAGTATATAAAATCACAACAAAGATTGTTAATTTTTAAAAGGAGCTCTAAAAAAGAAAATAATTACTTAAAAAATTATGTATATAATATACTTATTTTATTTATTATAATATTCCAATAATTATTTTGTTTTATACAATTAATTTAATGACAATTATTGTCCGCTTGACGATGGGGGCAAAATGCCGTGACGTACGTACGTAATATAGTGAAAACATTCCAAAAGGGGCGTATCGCAGGCATAGTTTAATATTTGAGCTTTGTCGGTTGCACTTTGAAGCAGTGCGGCGATGCGCGATGTAACGGCACTAATTAATTCGATAAAATGATGTCATAATGCAAATTAGGATGTTCCGCAGGACGGCTGTTTATGCACATTATCGATTGTGTGTGCAGTCTGTATCACAGATATATCGTACATGCGTTATAGATTTATTTCGGCACATATCTTAGTTTTTGTAACGTTAAGTTTAGAAGTTATAGAAATTTTTGAAATTTTACAGAGCACTAATAAACGTCGCTGAAATTTTAAACTTTATGTTAACAAGTTGTCACTACTCTTATTCAGTGGAGAGAATGCTATGCGAATGCCGTTGGATTCAATTGATTCTATTGTATAAAGTGTATAATAGAAAGTAGAAAGTTACTTTCTCGTTCTTTCTCCAAGTTTGGAAGATGAATATAAAAGCATTACTTCTTTTTGTAGAAAAAACGCCTTGAAAACACGAAAAGTTACCTCGTACAAATGATTTGTTTCGTATCATTTTTTTTTGACATAGAGAAATTCACCTCCTCTTATAAGAAAGAAAAGCGAAGGAATGTTTATTTCAGTTGAGAGTTGTCATGTGAGAGAGACTCAATCCGCGTGAAATCGCTATCTTGCAAGAAACGAACCCTTGCGAAAGCCCGAATTCCATCGTTGCTCATTACGGCTTAATGAAAATGTTCTTATTCCTCCTCGTCATAAAGAAATAACTTATACTTAGTTGATGACAATAGAATTTTCAAATGATAAAAAAAGAAACGCGTTTTTTCCACTTGATGGGATTTCTTGTAGGACAATCGCGAGAGTTTAAACAGATGAAATCCCCTTTCGCGAGAACTTGTATTGAAGAGGAATTGTAACGACAATAAGAAAATCAATGGCCGGATCTACGCGATTATCAAAATTTTACTGAATTAAATTTTATAGTAAAAAATATTAGTATTTTGTAATTGTAGCAGAAATAATAGAAATAGAAATATAATAGATAAAATAAAATATATGTATGTGTATATATGTGTATATATTACATTCTGTTGTGGCATTTGCAAGCATAAAATATAATGTATGTTCAAAGTTCAAAGCTTTTCCTAATATCGAGACCAGAAAGTTTTTTTTCTTGCGAGAACAAGAGAAGAGTACTTGCCAATATAAATTGGCAGATCGATATAATTCTATCTGCAGGGGCCAAGAGAGTAGAATACTACAGATAATCTTATAGTGAAGATAAACAGAAGTCTATTATAACTTCCAAATGCTACAGGATAATAAACTTATTCCCATCCTGTACAGGAACAGCGAATTAACGACGGACTAATTTTCATGATATAACGATGTTTAAAATAAGATTGCCTCTCAAGGAAAGCAAAGTCTTTAGTGTTGTCAAATAAATTCGCGACGCCTCGAAAGATTCGAGCGAGCTTCTTATTAATAAGAAAAATGGACTCTCAAGATGTCTGCACTGCAAATCCAAGTATGTTATTTTAACTGAAGCTCTTCTTACACATTTCTTGCCGTTTTAAATCACGTCATTTAACACCGTTGAAGGTATTAACTTTTAATTTAATACAATTAAACGTGTTAATTTAACACGCAGCAGAACATGTAAAACGAGCTTCAGTCAAATGTGTCATTTTTAGACGTTTACGCGTATAGAAATAACAGTCTTGGATTTACAGTGTGGACATAGAAGGAGATCCAATTAAAGAAGCTGAGAAAAAATGTTTCATGCTTTTGTGCTCCCTAAAAGGATACCTATTGTATCGGTAACAGTTTTTCTTCCATGACCAAGAAAGCTGCTAAAGTATGCCAAACTTTATTCAATGATTATAAACACACACACAGTCTCATATACCAACACGGTTTTGTATCCGCGCGCCAAAGTTTGCCTTAATAAGTAACGCGCCATTCACTGTTCGCTCTGGAAAGGCAGCAAAAAGCGCATCCGAGCTCCACCCTGCTCTATAGATATTTTCATGATAAATAGAGAGCCGCGAATGATAAAGTTTCGAGGCCATAGTTAAGGCAACTCCAAAATAAACACGCCAGTTACGAGATAAAATAACGTTTGTTATCTGTTAAATTTATCAGTTATAAATACTCTTGTGTATGATTTTTTTAAGTAGTTTCTAAAATGCAAGATATGATAAACTGATTCCAGCAATGAA